AATGATTTACTAGAGGCAGGTAAACAACTATCAATAGTACCTGCAAGATTCACAGAGGAATCAACCGAAGCATCAGAGGACAAAAGACTAATGATCTGATTGTACTGCTCCTGAGTGAAGGTAGGTGCCAAGGAACCAGAGGAATTCGACTTATCAAGGGCTCCAGCAGGATCAGAAACAACCACTGCAGCTTGCGCGTTTTTACGTTTAGAGAACTTGAAATCAGGTGAGAACCCTATAAGAGGATAACAGCTATCTCATTTATGACCTTTGATCTTGCAAAAATCACAAACGCCTTAAAACCGGCGACGATCAAGAGTCCCAGAACTTTTGGAATAGAACACCGAGGAATCATGACTTGGCATAGCAGAGAGCTGAATCCGCAGAGACTCCTCTTGAGCGATCATGGAGTACGCCTGGTTCACCGAAGGAAGAGGCTGCATCAGTAGGATCTGGCTTCGAATCGAAGAATAGGTCTCATTCAAGCCCATGAGAAACTGAAGAAGCTGCTGCTGGACAATGTGCCTGGAGTACTGCTGCGAACTCACACACTCACAGGACACAATCGGCACAAGCGTAACATACTCATCCCACAACATCCTCAATTTTGTGAAATACGTTGAGACGCTCAACTCACCTTGAGAAATTGTAGCTATTTCACGATGAAGGAAGAAAATCCGAGATCCATTCACCTTATCAAAGCACTCCTTCAGATCGTCCCAAATCGAAGCCGCATTTGAGGCAAAGACGATACCAGCCGAGAGCTCCTTACTCACGGCGTTGAGAATCCAGGACAGCACGATAGCATTGCACCTCTCCTATTGAGGATGCAAGTCAGGATCGTAATTTTGCTTCTGGCAAGCACCATCAACGAAGCCAAGTTTGTTCTTCGCCAACAATGCTATGCGCATCGATCTGCTCCAAACACTGTAGTTCTCCAATCCAACTAATTGATGAGAAATCAACGGAGTGCCTGGAGTATCTGATAGATGCAAGAAAAGTGGATGATTGAAATCAACCACGGCTGAATCATTTAGTGGAGGCATTGCAGTGGAGAACGATGAACGAAATCCCTAGGAAAGAAATTTGGGAATGAGAGAGAAGAAGATGAGAGCTGATGTGGAAAAAAAGGCCGAGCCACACTACCCGGTTTAGAGGTGGGCCAAGCAGATAGATCCAAAAAAAACCTGGCTCTGATACCATGTTAAAATAATGCCTCGTTATTTTATTACTCAGCTAAACTCCAATTTATATAGTACATTGCACAAACAATAACGTAAGAGCTGGAAATAACTGCTCATAACTAACTCTCTAACAGTCTACTAACTGACTTCTAACAAACATAACTAATATCAGTTATCTCAACAATTATAAATAAACATATTAATAAAATGAAAGATGGTATATACCTTTTTGAGGTCAGGAATACGTGTTGAAAGGGAAATGAAACTCTGGCTATAAGCTTTTCACTATATTTTATTTCAACAATTGCATGATATTGAGCATGAATTTGGACTCTTTGACCTCGAAACTTGCCCAGATTTATTTGAACAATAATGTTCCATGTATCCCATATTTCCATCCCACTAATTACTCACCTCATTTTTGTGTTACACATCATAAAATTGTCAAGATATAGAAGTCGCCGACGAGCTGTCGAAGGAGATTATATGGGAAAGAAGCCTTTGGTGGTGGTGGGATGTGATTTTATGTAATGCAATAGTTCCAACTGTTGGCCTTGAGTTGTTTCATTGGCCTTTTAAAGTCGTCGTCCATCTCACGAGAAGCTTCAACGAATGAATTACCATTAATACATGGATTGCATGCATAGTTTTCATAGGAGAAAAAGTGGAAATATATCATGCATAGTTTGTAGATGGAAGCTGAGTTTTCAGATGAGCATACCCGTTGTTATCATCACAAACATCTTCCTCTTCTTTGTTTTCTATATCCTCTTGTTCCTCAAAATATAGCAGATCTCAAAGTTCCTCAGTGACTTGATGAATGGTAAAAAATTTCTATATGGCTTGCCATAAATCTACCTTTTGTCAATAGTTTGGTGTGGAGTTCTATTTCATGAGGTGAGTGAGAATAACAACCAGCCAAAGTGAGAAAATTTTAGTTTAGAATGAAATGTCATAACACCCTTATAAAGTTAACGGTGGGGTGACAATAAAAATAAATGAATAATGTTGAATTATCAAATTGAAATTTTTTAAACTTTAGTGACCAAAATAGGGGAGACAAGAAAGTTGAGTGATAATCTGTGTAGTTTACCCTAGAAAAGCTACAAAATCAGGAGTAAATGAAAAGAAATTAAAACTATTTATTTTTTGACAAAACGATGAAATTAACCCTTAATATTTATTTAAATGATCACTTTGATTCTATTTTTTCTGAAAGATTTTAGCCTCTAATTTTTTAATTTTAAGTTACAATAGTCCATGTTCGATGAAAACGATTAGTTGACTAAGGGCCAGTTTGATATTGATTTGAAAAGTGACTTTTAAAATTTTCGTAGAAAAGAACTTTTAAAAGTGGATTTTTCAAAATTACAGTTTAAAATTTAACTATATGAGATTACTGTTAAAAAGTATTTTTTTAAAAAGATAAAATATTCATTTTAGACATTATGTTGTAAATTAAAAATATTTTTTTAAATTTTTATCGGTTTGACATTAATTTTACGATCAAAATGAATTTTTTAATTAAAAGTGCTTTTGTACAACATTACTAAATGGAGCCTAATAGTAAACATATATGCTGACATGACATTTAATCCCTTAATCTTATATTTTATTCAACTTGATTATTTAACTATAGTTTTGTGTAAAATTTTCTTTCCATCAAGTCTTGAACTTTTTATACCCCGTTAATAATTTATTCTCAAGATATCTTCTTAAAAAAATAACATTATAAATATATTTTATAATTTAAGTCGGTATTTGATATATCAAATAACATTGTTAATCTTACTCGTTACTAACACATGTGAAAAAAATATAAGAAAGATATATGTATATCTTATATGATTAGAAGAAGTCGTTTAAATTACAATTATTTATACTATAATATTATAAATAATTATAATTAAATTTGAAGATAAACTCAAACAACTCGGCTCAATTTAAAAAATTAAATAAAATTTAAATCATAAAAAACTCACCAACTTAACTAATTCAATTTTTTATAACTCTTCTATGAAATATCCACCCTACCTCAATTAAAATGAATTTTTAAAATTTATTTAAAAGATAAATATTAATATTTAATATTATTTGTGAAATTATTATTTCTTTTAATTAAGTAGAAAGGTATGAAATCTTTAATACATATGCTAAAGTTCAAATTCATTCAAAATATGACAATATAAACATTCTTTTATCATTCAGTCAATTAATAGATCTCAAAATTATTATATTATTTTACTATAGACATTCCAATCAAAGATAGCCAATAAAATTGAAAAGATTCAGAATATATTCCCTAAAAATAAATAATTATATGAATAAATACAAGTAATTATATCAACTGAAATTGGAATATTTTAAAAATCACAAATTAGGGTCGAGTCAAGTAAATTTTTTTCGAGTTATTCGAATTGATGAGTCGTATTTTACAACTCGAACTTAACTTGAAATTTTTCTAGTCGAGTCGAGTTATTTGAGTTTCTATACTAATTTTATTATAATTATTTATAGTATTATGGCAATGATTTCTTCAATTTTTTGACTTTATCTAACCATAATATATATTCTTCATATTATAATGTTATTTAATAAATCAAATATAATCTAAAATTATGAAATATATTCATAATATTATATTTTAAGGAAAGTGTTTTGAGGGTAAAATATTGATGAGAATATAAATGAGTAAAGGAATTGATGAGAAGAAAGAATTTGCAAACAATTGTAGTCAAAAGACCAAATTAAGTAAAATGCAAAGTTAAGGGACTAAATTTAGTAAAAAAATAACAATTGAAGTTAGTATGTATTCTATTGTGGTATATGAGCATGTGGTTTAAATTTGGTAAAAAAAAAAGAACTTAAAATAAATGACAAATTGAAGGAATAAGGAGATTATGAAAAACTGAAGGACTAAATTGAAAAATAAAAAATTTGTAACCAAAAAGAGAAATTGAAAGTACACATGTATTCTACTATGGTTTAGGAGCATGTGGCTCACATTTGGTAAAAAAGGATTTAAAATAAATAATGAATTGAAGAAATAAGGATATTATAAAAATTTGAAGGACTAAATTGAAAAATAAAAAAATTATCAAAAAGAGGAATTGAAAGTACAAATGCATTCTACTATGGTTTAGGAGCATGTAACTCAAATTTGCTAAAAATAGACTTAAAATAAATGACGAATGGAAGAAATAAGGAGATTATGAAAAATTGAAGGACTAAATTAAAAAATAAAAATTTGTTATCAAAGAGAGAAATTGAAAGTAAACATGTATTATGCTATGATTTATGAGTACATGGTTCAAATTTAGTAAAAAAATGACTTAAAATGAAGGAGTAATTGAAGAAATAATAAAATCAGGGATTAAATAAAAAAAACTATCAAAATATTTAGTCAAATTTTTAGTTTTTCGAGTAATTCGAAAATTCAAAATTTAAATTCAACTCGAACTCGAAAATCGAATTTATAATTCAAATTGACTCGAATAATTTAAAATAAAAAATCAATTTTTCAAATTAAATCGAGTCAAATTTTGTTCACCACTATCACAAATATCTAAGGCTGCTACGGTGGGTCGTCTAAATTCATAGGGGGTGGGTTGCATTAGGAGTTAATTAGCCAAAACCGAAAACGTGTTAACAGCCATAAAAGGGAGCGGTGGGTCCACTCAAAATCTAAGTTTGGGGTATTGGGGCGAATCCCATACATTTGGATTGAATTTATCACGCGTGGTAGTTTACAATTGGACCAACAAAGATAAGTGGAGATTTAATAGATTCCCCCTACCATATCTTTTTCATTTGCAAAACAAATTATGCACTTCATATTTTTAATAAGCCTTTATTTATGAACATAGTTCCATTAGTGAAAATCACAACCATGTCTGCAAATCATCTTCACTTCCCTTAAACTCCAACATCTTTGTTAAGGTCTTCATCTTCTTCAAAAAGGGTACTTAATTTCCCACGTTTTACACCTTTGTTTTCTTTTCTTTTATGATTGCTAGTGTGATGTTATCTCTTTTCTCTTTATCGTACTATTAATATAGTATAATTCCAAAAGAACAAATATTTGGCATGCTTTAAGAGATATATATATATATATATATATATATATATATATATAATTTATGGTGAAACATTTGGATTCTTTAGATGTTTTATTAGGTGAGATTCATGTGAAAATTTAAGCACATCTTGATAATGTAAGAGTTCGGTTTTTTCCCGGTGAATCATGAAAGTTGACCGACCAAGTGTTTGATGTTATAACCGAATAAAACCTTTTCAGAATTGTGAAGAGCATAATATGGAAGCTCTTGAACTTGGTGCTCTTTCAATATTCTGGAGGTTTAAAACTACGATAAAGAAAATGATAATTTGGATTTGTTTTGAAGAAACGAAAAATGTTTGGGGTTGCTCCAAATGTCGAAAAGATCGGAGATTTTATTCTATATATGATTAAACCATGATGCTTTCATTAGTTCAATGAAAGCTTCATAAATTCTTGGACTTTGGCAATTTTGCATTGATTAGTCAAGTTATTTTGATTCGAGCACCGAATATGAGTATGTATTTGATATTAGATCATAATTATGTGTTGGAACGTGTGTGAGATTATATTGCTGCAGGAAAATGGCAAAAAAAACATTATATTCATAAGTTTTTTGAATTATTCAAGCTTTCATCACAATTAAATTTATGTCTTTCCACTAATGATAGTTTGCAGGTTACCATGGCAGTGATTCCATTGCGTTTCAAAATGCCATATAAAGATCAAAATCATGACTGCAAATGCAAGGGTTTGCAATGGAATCCATTGCGTATTTCTTTAGGTATCTTAACAAAAGCTGACGTTAGGGACAAAAATGGAGGTTTTAATGGATTTCAATGGCGTCTTTGGACATTGAATGGTGTTCATCCGAGACCCTTATCCATGAAAGCATTGCCCAAAGAAAGTTCACAGCTGAGGTCTTTGGATTCTTATTTTCAAAAATTACAAGAATATTCAAATAAGGGTTCTTCAATGGAGTTGGTTGCTAGAACTGGAGAAAGTAGCATGAAGAAGGGCCTGCTGGAATCTCTGGAGGCTTATCTTGGCAAACTCGATGAAGGTAATTTTCTATGCCAAAAAGCACTGTTCTCTTTTGTCACAATTTGATCATATGCACGGACACAATCATGACATAACATGTTGGATATACTAGAATTCGTAAAATAAAAACAGTAATGGACAGAGGAGTTAGGATTGGATCATGAAGGGGGCAAAATGCTTAACTTTAAAATAAATAGGGTCGTAAAAGTAACTGAACCATAAATATTAAGAGAAGAAGGGTTTAGTTTCACTAAATTTAAAAATTCAAAATTCTTAAAAAATAATTAAACTACAAAAATTTGGGATAAAGACTTAATTCTATTAATTTTAAAATTCACTATATCCTAAAAAGCAATTATACCAAAAAAATTTGGGAGACACAATGACTTAATTACAATGGCTTTGAAACTATCAATTGCCCCTCCCACCTATAACGTGCGTCTGTCCCTAGTCATGGATGGTCATAACATGATCAGGAAAGAGTGTCCGGTTAATTATTTATGAGCCGTTCGTATAGAATTCGTTTGATAAGCTAAATAAATGAGTTTGAACAAAATTTTTATGTTCATTTAATAAACGAACGATCACAAACATTTGTGTGTTTGATACATTTATGTTCACGAACAAGTTCGTTAATCAACTTATTCGTTTATGTTCACGAACAAGCTCGTTTAGAAACTCATTTACTTTTTATTTTTTATATTTTAAGTATTGGTGAATGTAGAGACTTAATTCAACACGTGGTGAAATTTGGAGTTTAAGCTGTAAAAAACTTAAGGAGTTTAAGCACTAGTGATGTAATTTTATCATTTTTTGCATGCAAATCAACATGTTCAAGAACATATAAATTAACATGTTCGCGAATGCTAAGCGAACATGTTCAAGAACATATAAATGATCGAACATGAATACCTCCAAAAATAAATAAACGAACACGAACATGAACACAATATTAAGACATTAAACAAATACAAACCAAACATGAACACTTTTGAAAATAAATAAATGAACGCAACATTGCTCATTTAAGCTCGGTTCATTTAGACCCCCTAAATCCAGTTTTTATGTTCTGTTGGTCTTTTTCCAGTTCAACTTCAACCACTTTTTAGTCCGTTCGAAAACGTAGGATATTTTAATGATATATATATATAGAGAGAGAGAGACCATACGATCCATCGATTTTGTCTATGACTGAGTTCCTTCTATTGTTTCTTCAGATTCAATGCCTAAAAGCTATGGCGAAACTCCTGATGACAACCAAACTGTACTTCCATTTTCTTTCGAAGAATATGCTAAGATAGACGAAAATGCAAAGTTCAGAAGCGATATCGGCTTCAGGATAAGAGATGCTAACAGAGTCTCACACAAGTCTGAAGCTTTGAACTACTCTGATGAAGCCTCTCATCTCTACTTAATGTAAATCACTACCCCTCTACTTTTGTTTACATCTGCCAATTTTTGACACTTCACGGAAACATGACATTGAACGACATGTTCTGATTGTGTACGAATTTTGCATGATCATGTTTTGTGTCATAATCACTTCAACACATTTGTGACGTAACAAATTTTCTGTCATAAATGTGCAAACCACAAATAAACTTGCTTAAGACAGAATTAAGACACATTATTCAACACATAGTTGTTAGTTTGTCATGTTCATGCTCTGATATAGTTCTTTTATTCTAAATGCAGAGGTATATTGGCTTCCATAAACATTGCAGTTTTCATATTCGAAATCGCCACTCCAGTTAGAATCCCCGAGTTGGAGCTTTTCTCGATTCCTTCATTATATGGAGCTAAAATAAACGATCTTATTCTGGTTGGAGAATGGTGGAGGCTTGTGACACCAATGTTTCTGGTACAAGACTAAAACAATTGGGTCTGTGTTCGTGTTCTTTTTCCGTTTTATTTCTTTTGCATGATTTTGTCTATACTTAGACTCGAGTATAATTGTCGGATACATGTATCTGTTACTTTGGTCCTCTTGCCACAACATTGCCCGAGTCGATATTTCTTTTCGTTGTCTGATCATGATATTTCATTCTAGTGATTCGCAGTATCTTTTTTTTTTCCTTCCTGTTTTATCTACCATAACAACGTTTAAATTACTTGATGGTTGATTTGGTGATGCAGCATTCCGGGATTCTTCATGTATCTCTTGGTTGTTGGGGGCTTCTTTCTTTCGGGCCCCAAGTTTGCAGACATTATGGATCGTTCACATTTTTCTTAATATATTTGCTCGGGGGGTTCGCCGGAAACTTGATAAGCTTCCTTCATACACCGGATCCAACAGTTGGTGGCACGGTGTGTCACACGAAATAAGAAAAAATAATACTGATATAAGCAAAAGTGTCAACTCTAACATTTCTTTCTCAAACTAATTGCAGGGACCAGTTTTTGCTGTGATCGGTGCATGGCTGATTTATCAAATACAAAACAGAGATGTGATGTCAAAGGATAATTCGGATAGAATGTTCCAAAAGGCAATACTTGTGACGGCTCTTAGCTGCATATTAAGCAATTTCGGTCCGATCGATGACTGGTTAGATATGCTCTACCTACATTGTTTAAACGTTAATCATTGCATGCAGATGTATCCATGTACGGAGCATGGTTGTTATTTGATTTTTGTTGACCGAGTCCGACTCGAGTCACTGCAGTTGGTCGAATTGCTGGCTCAGTTTTCGAAAGCTGGACAGATCTAATCCATTAACGGTATCAAATTATAAATGCAGGACACATTTGGGAGCTGCGTTTAGTGGTATAGCATATGGTTTTTTCGTATGCCCTTCGCTGCAGTTGGATGAGATATCTTCAAGAAGTGGTCAAGAAGAAGAGATGAGAGTGGTGGGGAGATTCGGTGATCCACGCAAATCACTCATTTTGTTTGCTGTTTCCGTTCTTGTTTTCAGCTCTTTGGTTTTCTTTATAGAACCTCCGATTGGTACCACGGAATTTGGGTTTTAGGTTAGTCGATGACATGCAGCAAGTCCAAACATTGCTCGCATACTAGCCATAGCTTCTTTTGTACAAATTATATATGTAATAATTATGTACTGTGGTGCCACCTCCCTTTGAGTGAGATGATAGAAATCTTGTATAAATCGTAGTAAAGTAACTTCTTTCAAACTCTTTTTTTTTCTTATGCAAATAGTAATTTAAAAAAAAAGAAATATCAGAAATTGGCCCTTCATGTCTTAGACATTAGTCTTTAATGTGAACCATAATTTGAGATAATACAAGAAAAATGTTAAAAATTTATCCAAAAAACTCGAATAAAATGACTAAATGAATCATTGTTGTTCCTATAGGTCATAGGTTCGAGCATTAACGGATGCAGCAGGTGATTGAACTTTTATTGTCAAATAATTCAGAATATTTAAAACATATACTACTTTGTAATCATTTTAGTTTAATAATAAAAACTTAAGAGTATATGTGGATTTAAAAAATCACTTAACACAAGATTATGAACTTTCAAAGTTTTAAAATATACTTCTACTACTTCAAACATCTAACATAATTTGTCTTTCTCATACCCACTATTTCATTTTAATGTGTTGATTGTAGAAATTTTCATTTTGGTTCTTACAATTTTAATATCCATTTAATTTTATTCTAAAAATATAAAATAAAATTTGAACTAAAATCGTGATCAGTGGTTTTGAAATTTACGACGCTTTGTCAAAATTGATTTCAATTGCATACGATCTCAGGGGCTCAGGTGAAGATGGCCAATTGGGTATCGGAAACAATGAAGAAAGAGAATGGGTTTGCGTTGTTCAAGCTCTTGAGCCTCACAATGTCCGCTCCGTCGTCGCTGGCAGCTGTAACTCTCGCGCTATTTGTGATGATGGCAAGGCCTCCGCCGCAACTCCCCCTTTCTGCTTTTATATGTATATTCTTCTTGGTGCTTTTTGAGGTGGGTATTGATTGTTTATTCAGTTGCTTGTTTCCATTTTGGTTGAAACTTCTCTTGTTTTCGAAACGAGCATCGGCTGTTTTTCAACTGTTCTAACTTGGGTTTTCTGGGCTTTGATTGATCGGCTGTTGATTTTGCTACTTGCCCTCATTCGCCTTTTTGGTGAAATAGAGCTTTTCTTCTATTTGAGTTTCACCTGGCCCGATCCTGGTACAGTCGGATCCGATATGGTTACTGAATATCAGAGTGTTGGTCAACATGAAAAAGGAAAAGAAAACAGTTAAAAGTTAATTTCATAATTTATTGAAACGAATGGATGAGGATAACTAGAATACAGCGTCATTTCTATCCTAATCATGTTTTTTTTATAATAAAAATGGATTCATACATTTTATTTTGTAGAAAAGTTATGTGCTTTAAGTATCTTTGGTTCTTACTTGTTACCTATGTTACTTGCACTTCAGTGTGACTTTCGGTGGTATCCGACAGAGATTTAAATTGAAGTTGTGGACTTGCGTTTATCGCGGTTACGGATATAATAAATGTTATTATGATAATTACGGATATTGTGGTCGTAAATATTTTCTAAATGAGTTCATTTTTTTTATAAAAAAATTGATTTTAAAAAAAATGAAAAAATAGAAAAATAACGGAATAACGATATGCTATTGCCGCGATTGGTTGCTATCCGCTAAATTGCGACCGCGATCTACCGCTATTGGTGTGATTTCGCTTTCACACCGTTATTTTCTGCTATAGCGGTATCGGATGCCTCCACAGCCGCGATATTGCTATCTGACTGCTGTCATAACCGTTTTTTAGGGTGGAACAATTATTTATTGGTTTTTTAAAAATAATTATGACTTTAATTTGGAAAATTAGTGATTTGGAATTAATTTGGATTAAATTAGATAGAGTGACCATCGACCTTTGAGTTAGGTAGGTAGAATACCTAAAAACGTCTTTTAAAACAATTTCAAGAAAAATCATTTTTAAAGACAAAATTGATCTACGTTACCAGAGGTTCATTTTAAAGGGTTCGGGAGTCGATTACGCGTGGGGAAAGATTAACACCCCAGAGCGCCCAAAATTGGTACTGTATCGCTTATACGTTGTCGTAAATGGTGAAATTTATGAGTCGAATATAAAGTTAAAATGTGATCCATTTATCGAACATTTGTTAATTTGTTTCGAATGAACTATTTAAAGAAAATCTTTTAACTCGATAAAAAATCTTGAAATTTGCAATCCTCCTTCGGGAAAGCTATTTCAACCATTTTCCATTGTTAAAGAAGATTCTATAGTCGAATATGTAAAATATGCATATCAAATATAAATTACAAATTGACAGTTGCAGAAAATAAAATACATAACTTGCATTGTTCGATGTAAAATAAAAATGAATTAATAATTAACAAATTAAAATTGATTTATTTCAAGTTTCATTTCGTTCGAATGTCGTGTCGGATTATATCACTTCGATCAAGTGATACTTTCCACGCCCGTTCTACAAATCGTTTTTCTTGAAAATATTCGAATAAAATAAAGGAGTATAAAAATAATGATGAAAAAAAATATTACATGCATGCTCGTAAACGTACATCTAATGTAAATAGAATTAATAATATTTATTTAATTTATGTGTGTTTGTGTGTGCTTATTTGATGCATAAAAATATGCATAAGATAAAACATGGTCATATATATCTTTAGTATATAAAATACATTTTTATTACATCATCTAAGTAATGTTTCATACATATACGAATATATATATATATATATATATATATATATATATATATATATATATATGCATAAAAACTAAACTATATAAAAACATGTGGGAACCACTTGTTGGAATCCTATGACATTACTTTTGTCAAATTTGAAACAACACTTAACATATATTTGTTCAAAACGTGTGGAAAACTTTTTACACATCAAACATCTTGACTTTAATATTACATTCATAATAATTATGCACATAAAACGATTAGTATTAAAGTAAAAAAAATGTTGAATCTTACACAAAAATAACATTTTTATGCAACAAATAATATATAAAATCGTTAAAATGAAAAAATAAAAAAAAATAATCGTACAACATTGATAAATATATATATTTTAATTCAGAAGGCATAAAGGATCAAAATGATGTGAAATGTAATTTGTCAATAAAAATATGGAATTAACCACTACACAAATCAACAACAAATAGAGACTAAAACGTACTAAACTAAAAGTTAACAGTTTCAATTAGTATTTATCCAAAAATAAATAATACATGCATGGTGACCAAAACATAAATATAACACAGTTTAGGCTCGAAATAAAATGCAAGAACTTTCATTTGATGACTAAAATTAAAAATTTACAAAGGTCATCACCAAAATCAAACATTAACGATACTAATATAATTGGACTAAAACACAAATATTGAAACATAAGAGCTTTGTGATAAAATAAACATAACTTCATTTAATAACTAAAAAAAGGTTATAAAGTAACATGGACTAAAACATAATAACTGAAAATAAAATGCTAAAAATCAAATAATATGGAACTTCATTATATGACTAAAATAATGCGATTACAAAGCAAAGGGACTAAAAACATGATTATACCGTAAGCTAAAAACACGCATAAACCCTTCCCCAATACATTATCGTTTTGCTTAATGTTTAAAAGCCCAAAATGGGGCTTTCCTTACCCATTTACCTCATTTTGTGTTTTACCTGAGAGAAAAGGAGAGAGAATGGGCGAGAGAGTTCCAGAGAACTCTCAAAGGTCAGCGGGCCTCCTCCGTGCCGGTCGCCATTGACCGGCGGCCATTGCCGTACGTCGGCGTCGGAAGGAAGAGAAGTAGGTATCACTCGAAGACTCTCGTGGCCTAGAGCAAGGATTTGAGATCCTTTTAGCCTAAAAGTAGCCCAACCGCCGCAAATCTAAGAAGAAACCTCTCGGTTTCTTCATCTCCGGCGACCTAAGCCTTCACTAGAATTTATTAAGGTCTGCTCTTTTTCTCTTCTCTTATTATTTTTCTTATTTCTTTCGATTCGAAAATATTCCCCGGATATTTCTGATTTTTGTTCGAATGTGGCTCTTCCTTTTCGATCTGGTTTCTTTCCAATATATCATTGCATGCCTGATTTTTTTGATGTAGTAGGTTTAAGGCAGGTAAATTTAATCCCAGATTTCTCGGGGTTAGGTACAACAATTTTTTTGACTTTTTTTGGATTTGGATTTTTAGTGGATTTGTGTATTTTCTTGGCATATTTCGGTGATAACGACGGTGATGATGTTGATCGGCGATGGCTCGGCTCGGCTGGCAGCATGTCGGTGGCTCGAATGGAATCTGGATTGTTAATGGCGGCGGTGCTTAGCTGTTAGGGGACGGTGGCTGCTTCGATGGCTTTGGTTTAGGGTTTTAGAAACCCTAAACTATTAAGATATCATATGGGTCAGTTCGAGTCCTGGGCCTCGGGTCTAGGTAGGTTATTCGGGTCTGCTACTGGGTCAAATCCGGATTTGCTGGGTTGGGTTGTAACTAGATCAGATTTGGGTCTTGTTGTAATGGCCTTTGACCTGAAAAGTTTGTAAACAAAATTAATAATAATAATAATAATAACAATAACAACAACAACAACAACAATAATAATAATAATAATAATAATAATAATAATAATAATAATAATAATAATAATAATAATAATAATAATAATAATAATAAGTATAATACTTTAAGCTCGGACAAAAACGAGTGTCTACAGCTGCCCCTCTTTGCACATTCTTGTGTTAACAAGAATAGGGCAAAGACAAAAAAGCCAACCAATTTTTGTACGGGTTTCTTTTTTTAGTTTTGGAGACTTGATATGTTTGTGTTGTGGGGACGACACGGCTCATACACGAAGAAGAGTTCTGGTCGTCTAAGGGTTGACATGGCTCCTATATAATGAGGAAATCTTGTCAGGGGATGACACTGCTCATAAGTGATGAAAAGTTCTTGGCCATCTTTAGGAAGTGTGATAACACGACTCATACGTGATAAGGAGTTCTGGTTATCAAGGGTTAACACGACTCCTAAATAATGAGGAAATATTATCAGGGGATGACACTGCTCATACGTGATGAAGAGTTCTTGGTCATCTTTAGGAAATGATAACATGGTTCCTACGTGATGAGGATGACTGGTTATCTAGG